TCGTCGTCGCTGTCGTCGTCGTGCTCGCAGTCGTTATTGATACTTCGCACGCCTCCTGACCGCACCTTTATTCATTGTCTGTTCCGAGCTGAGCCGCATCATGACCATGTCTTTGTGTCGATTTCTGTGCAGAGGCAGAATCACAATTTGACACCCAGGCGCAGCCACCATCAAAGCCACTTTCTTGATAAAGTCAACCAGCATCATCATCGCAATCGTCGTGGTTGTCGTTGCTTCCTATCAACTTTATCATCTTGACGTTGTCGAGTGGCCCAAGCAAGCAGACGTGGACGACACAAGTCATTGCATGTTGTATAACCAGCATCAGCAGCATCGTCAACACCGAAGACAGATGACGATTGTCACCATCTTTTTTTCGTGAAAAGGATTGACATGGCCATCGCGAGAATGTGAGTTCGACAGCTCCAAGATCCTACTTCCGCACTTAGGCCAGTCGAGGTTCGGGCCGTGAACCCCCGCCCCGGGGACCCAAACGATGTGCGCAGCTTAGATCCCGGACGATGCTTTAGGGCCTTTAGGGCTTCGGGGTCCTGAAGTGTTTAGGTTGGTTTCAGGCAACGGGCCCTGTAGGGTTTCCTTCGGTTTCGGGGGTTTAACGCTTCAGCTTTACGGGTTCAAGCGAAGAGTTTAGGGGCCTGCAGGGTTTGGGGCATCGGGGCTCAGCGGATTTTGCGGGGAGGGAGGGTTTCGGGGCTGGGGAGATTTGCTCGTCCCTTGTCATAAATGTGTTGACCCAGAGACAGGCACTCTTGCTGGGCTTGGGGGTTGGACGCCTGTTAGCAGACACATCATACCAATCGTTGCTCATGCCCTAAACCCTACACCCTAAAACCCATACTGTATACAATCACACTACAGCGCACCCTAAACAGCCCCTTTCGACTTCCAAGCCCGAAACCCCCAACCCTCGCGGTTTTTTGGGTCTAAGCCCCGAACTCCCAGGCCCCAACCCACATCCCCAAGCCTACAGATCCCACATATGGGTAGTTCTCTAAATCAGGGCCATTTTTCGGTTCCCAACATCGTACGACAGCCTTACAAAAAGGACCCCTACTCTAGAGAACGACGAATATGGGAATAGCCCTCAGCTGTCGCTTCGAACTGGGCACAGGTCGCCACCGTCTCGCTCCTTTACGGCGTTCTGAGCCAAGAGGGCTTAGGCTTGAAGCACTCTAGAGCTCCGGGGCTTTGGGTTTTAGGGCTGAGGGCTTTCTGGGTTTAGGGCTTTGGGTGTGTGGGTTTAGAGTTTAGGGTTTAGGTTTGGGGTATTAGGATTCAGGGCTGAGGGTTTGGGGGTTAAGGTCTTAGGGCCTTGTTTCTCAG